TATAAATAAAATACCATTTTGCTGTGGAAAAAATATATATGTATATACAAGATAGTTAGGATAGACATACAGCTACTTTCTCTTAGTTCATTGAGAAGAAAGGTTTGTACTAATATTGTTTAGATAAGATATCATGTCTGCATCTTGTCCTTTGAATAACTACTATGAAGACAATACGCAACGTATTAATTACTGTAGCTGTCCTACTAACCTACCTTGAAACAGTCTCATTACCCTTTTATCTTTTTTTCTCATTGAAATGAATAAAAAAATAAATAAATTTTGGTCTGACAGCTCTGAAAAAAAGAACAAACAAATAAGATAGGGTAGCAAGAAAGGGGAAAGACAGCAAAACACACCCTAAAACATTCTAAATGATCAGTTCTGATTCATAGGTAGAAAAGAAAACTGCAAATGGCAACGTAGCAAGTGTTTTTGTCTCAAGTTTCAGAGATTCTCCTGCCCCCAGCAGGCCAACATCACACATAGGTACACTCCTCTTCACACCAACGCTATTAAAAGTTGTTTTAGAAGGCAACCTTGAAGAGGTGGTCTGGATGGAGATACTAAGGAAAAAGGATGGGGCCGGGGAGATGGCTCAGTAGAATAAGTGCTTGCCTGCCAAGCATGAGGGTCTGAGTTCAATCCCTGGTTCCAGGAAAAAAAAAAAAAAAGGATGAGAAAACACTTTTCACGAAATTGGTGGAATAATAACTAAGGTAAACTCGTGGGCATTAAATTTACAGCTATACTTCTCACTGTAAATATACCTTATTTGCCCAATACTGAAACTCATGCATTCAGTTAATTTTAGGATTTCATTAACAATACATATTCTGCCTCTGACACATCCCTATTCCGAGGATTCCTGAACAGTTAGTAATGAATTATGAAAGAATAGCCAGCAGCACAAAAGCACAAATAAATACTGAGAGCTAGAAGGAACCTTTTTTTTTGTGAGCTGATTTTTCTAAACACTTTACAGATGTGAACTCAAGTATTCCATGCAAATACTTTGGAAAGCAGTTTGTAATAATATCGCTGTTTAACAGGCAAAGATAATGTGGTGCTGAGGGTTGGATAGTTTAGCAAATGCCATCCAGGTGTTAGCAGTGGGCCAGAAGTACTCCTTCCACTGTTTGGGTGTAATCTGTGAGCACTACAGCATGCTTCTTCTCCAGGAAGGCGACACTGGCTGGGCAGGAAGTGAGGGCTGGGAGGGGGGACCCCAGGAGCATAGCGGGAGACACGCGTGAAATAGACCACTGATGACATAGACTAAGGGCAGAAGTTAAGGTGAAAATCACGGTTCTACATGTAATGAAAAATATAGTTTATTTGGGGGTATACTAAAGGTTAGCCCTTCAGGCTCCTCCTTTTGATTACAAACACAAAGTCTGGTGAAAAGAAAGGCATTCTCTCACAGATCATAAGATTCTGAATGAATTTTCTTGTAATCTGATATAAAGTGGGTGCGGTTAGACACATTCACAGTTCAATTTTCACTTACCTGAGTGGGGAATCTGCTCTGACACGCCTGTTTTAATCTTAGCATGTTATTATAGCATGAGTGCTTGTCTTGTTTTATCTGCAAGTCTCACTTTGCTGATGCTTTAGCCTAATTGAAAGTTGAACAAATTATACATAATTACCCAAGAGAGAGTATGCTGTTATTCCCTGCACACTGCATTATCAAGGGTGAAAAACATTTCATTCTTCAAACTACATGAATAAAACAGTTATTCAATGTCACTAAACACTGGAAATAATAAATATGGTTATATAAGAATTTTAGTGTGGTGATATTATGCACATACTAAGCATCCAACGCATCTCATAAACTATGAGAAATAAAATAATGACTTTTTAGGAAAAGATTATTCAGTTTTGGCTAATTCAACAACAGTTATCCGAGAAAGCTCCTTGGGTATAAAATTGTGCCAAGCATATACACACAGAATGATGTAAGCCAGTTCGTGTCTTGTACCGTTTGTGTCTATAAAGTATTGATAGAGCATGTATTCATGTGCCCTTAACAATCCTGTTACACTAGGCAGCTTGGGTGGGTTTCTATTCAACCCTGGTTTTCAGAAGACCGTTTGTCATGCATTTTGAGGAAATTTTGTGCTATTATTCCTAGCTTGGACTTATTTAACTTTCT